TAACACTTCGGTACCCATTTTTAATTTCTTTGTTGAAAAAAATTTAATTTGCATTTTCGTAAAATGAAAAGATATCCGCTTACAAATAATGGACTTCTGGATTGACTGATTAATAGTTAACCGAAGCTTAACGAGACTAAACTCATCAGTGTAATGACTGTTGCACTGCGTTATCATAAAACATCTAAATTTTCTATATTCAATATTAAAACTTGAAAACAGTTTGGATATATTCAAATGTAAATATTAGACAGACAGACAGATAGATAGATAATTTATTGACGTATACATTCAGTACATAGTCATTTCACATTTGTATAGTATAATTAAAAATAATCATGGTACATGAACAAAAGTTGTAGCACAAAATATTCAATTTACATGTTTTTGGAGAATGAAGGTTAACAGCATTTAGTACTAAAGTAAGCTTAGCTATTATAAAGCGTTTACATTCTTAAAGATATAATTAGTGAATTTTAAACTTAATCATATGCTGTGATAAGACTCTATTTAACAATGTTTCATAATAGACACATAATTAAGTAATTACAAGAATAAACAATGTCAATTTTTAAATATAACGAGACAAATTTATACATTGATTTACAGAGCATTTAGTAATTCAATGCGATGATTTGTAGCATAATACAAATATTTACCTAAACCTATTAATTCAGACGTTTTTTCAGTACTTAATAATTGAATCAATTTAAACATACTTGATCTTCTGTAGTAGTATTCTACACATCGAAACATCGAAACACGAGGGTATCTGATTTATACGAGGGGGCGTAGCCTAATTATCACAGGATAATTATTATTAATTATACAAATTAAGTTCAAACACTTATATAGATGGTTATACAAAACTTTTATTTCAAGTAAATCTTTAAGGAAAGAAAGAAGATTTCAGAATTTCCGGAAAACAGGCACATATATGGTAGATATCTTAGTATAATCATAGAAAACATGTACAACAGATGTGATAATGAAAAAAATCGAACCTTTAACAGCGTACAGTTATTTTATCGCACCAAAATCCAGCGTACACTTAAATATTTTGACCAGTAAGCGTTTATGTATATCGGAGCACAAAGGTACTTGCTATGCAACTCAATTATGATTACTCTTATCGAATAAAGAAGAAAACGAAATTAACTATATTAATATAAGCTTGCATTAAGCGACCCAAAATTAGTTGCCGTCAGTTTACCTTCAATAACTTTTTTAATTATGAATTTAGACCTCTGTAATTTTGATGAAATGTGCGGCAGTACGACAGTATGATAGTGACAATGCGACAGTAAGTCGGACTGTCACCATCGTGCTGTTGTGCTTCGCAATCGTACTGTTGTATTGTCACCATTGTACGTACTGTCGCATTGTCACCATAGTACTGTCATGTTTGCGCTTTCCATTTCCAGAGCCCAAACGGAACACCGTAGTTTACATATTAGGAAATTGAGACAATGCTACAGCGTGTGTGTCATTTGCGTGTTGTTGTAATAGCATGCCTAGGATATATTCAGATATCTGTTGGAATGTGAGTGGCTATGCTTAAACAGAACCGAGCAATGACCAAAAATTAAAAATCACTCGATTCCAATTTTCTGTATATTGCAAGAGAGTGACGGATTAAGTCTTTCTACTTCCGGCTGAATATCTGAAGTATTGCGGAGGGAAGTGTTGATGCCTATAATTATTGCTATTGTGGTTAATCCCGGAATAGCCTTGTCCATTGAAAACGAATTAGCAATAGTATTCTGTTTTGAAATTTTCTTTTTACTTAAATATTTATTTCCAACATAAACCACAGGCACGAGTATCGGACCTGGGATGAAAACATATGACATGATTGATAAAAAACCCTGTTTCATCTTAAAAGTGTCAAAACCAATAAAAAAAATATAAAAAAAATAATTGTAAATTATGATCCCCTTTAAAAATATACTATAAGTTAAGAGAAGGCCGGAAACTCCAGATTCGAGCCTACGAGAAAGGGATTCACTTCCCGGGCCGTTGTGAAAACAATTGTCCAGACAATTAAAAAAAACTTTTATCACTATTTCACGTTCGTATTTAGCTTCCAAATGAGACCGACCCCAAGTGTCTAGCGCCTCCCGTTCATGAAATATCTATCAGGAAACGAGCGCATTCGTGCTAAAAATCCTTGGTAGACAAAATTGCGGCACAACAATTCGGTACGTAAACATAGACTAATACATGTTTGCCAGCCGAGTAAGGGTCAAAATCACTTGAATTTACTAAATAATATTGCTAAATACATTATATTAGAGAACTGACAACACGAGATTCGAGTTTCAAACATTTACACGGTCTTTCGATCGCTTTCTACGCCATTAGGCATCCTTGTGTGAAAAGTTGCGGTTTCGTTGCTGTTGGCCAATCAGAAAACTCGTTACAAAATACCGAACAGCTGATTTACAATGGCGTACGAATTTCGCGTTTATCATGTGCTAGTGTCGGTTGTGAGTGGTCCAACTTAATGTATTTAGTGATCCGGAGTGAAAACTACCAACACCACCTTCGATAATACCAAGATAGATCTAGACTCTTCGCATGCCTCAGCAATGCCTCAGATAAATCTAGACTCTTCGCATGCCTCAGCAATGCCTCGGATAGATCTAGACTCTTCGCATGCCACAGTAATGCCTCTTGGCATAAGACATATTTGCATTACAATGTTAGAAGGGCTTAACACTCCTTAATCCCAGTAAGGCAATTGTCCTTTTATTAAATATCTTTTTTATTTGGTATTATCTCAGCATATTTAAAAAGGCCAAAGATGTAGCTGATCGTGGTGTGTTGCTGCATAAGTTGTCACTTTTGCTTTACATTGTAGTATGTGCATTTCTTGGTCATATTGTAAAAAAAAGTTTTGGTGTAAGGGACAAAACTCTTGCATTACTGTTGAATTTCATTATTTTCCAAAGGGAGACAAATCTTCCGGCCTTGTCTATACTTTTCAAAGGTTACATTATGTGGTCAATATTTAAAGAAATCAAATGATCGGTTCATGATTGATTTTAAGGTATTTTGTATGTCCTGTGATTCCTTGGTGGAAAAAGTCTGTGAGTCTTTGTTATAGAGAAGAAGAGATGTTGGAAATATTTTGTAGTCAAAGTTCTTTATTATTGTTAACAGTAACTGGTGTGAAAGAGAGAAGAAAATGTGATATATTTGATTGTTGTTCAATGTACTATACTCATCCCTCAGATGACAATTGTTTTGTACCAAATTGATATCACGGTAATAAATCAAGACGGATATATAAACATGATTGAACTTCATAGCTGTTGTTGAAATTGATTGAAACAATCACAGAATCTGCATGACCCTCACGGGCTTGGATAGCAATATTACTAAATTGCGCCGAAACCACCCATATAACAATAGATGTCACAGTATAGAAACACGTCTACTTCCTGTTATTGCATAATATGTAGGCTTTCAAGAAAGGTACAGTGACCGGAAGTAACACGCGTGCTTGTTATCAGTATTAAACGCGCTCATGTGCACATTAACACTCATTGAGTCATTGTACTTTTCAAGAGACCATAAATTGGCAATGTCTACAAATTAGGCGGACAACTAACAGATTAGTTCTGTTTTACAAAATAGTGTCAATAATTTTGTAGTATTAGTTACACCCGGCAATCAGTGCATTACCACAAAATCAAGCCTATCATATTGTAAAATCATCAAATGACATATATAAATGTTCATCTTTTGAACAGCCCACCTCTGGAACACTCACACTCTCTGGCTTCAAGTCAGTGCTAGCTGCATGCACATTGACTGCTCCGTAAGTTTTGCTGTCATGCCTTTAAGCTATGGGCACTCTTTTATGTAGTTCCATATGTGTTCTAGGGCTAAGCACAATTCACTTTCGCTTATACCCAAGCATGGCCATTATAATAAGTAATTACTAGCAATTGCTATAGAGGGAATAGAAGAAGTAGATAGCTTATATTTGCATGTACAAACATTTATTTTTAACTTCATTTGTAAAATCATAACTACTTTTCTTTGTTTATACTTGTTTATTGTGTTGTGCTCTGTGATATTGCAAAATAAAAATTATATTGGCACCCACAGGGGAATTTATTTGGATTTTTTTCTCAAAATTTAGTGTTCTTATACCCTCACATATATTTACACTGCGCATCTTCTCGGCCATTTCCGTCAAACAACAATTCGCATCCCGGGGTGGTCCTGGGGTCTGCCGGGGGTAAGTGGAAACCGGGGGTTTAGATGTTTAGCAAGTTTTTACCTGGCAAAAATAATTTTTCATGTTAAATTTTTGTTATTGACGAATTTTTTTCAGTCTAAATGTAATCCCAAAAATTTCTAATAAGGGCTATTTTGGGATATTTACCATTTTACCCCCTAAATGAAACGAGGCTACATAGAAACAGAAAATTTCATTGATATTTTGGACTCTAAAACTTGAAACAAACGATATGCATTTGATATAGACATTTTGGACTCGAAAAGGGAAACTTGGCTAAATTGGGTGTGATTTGCATTTTATCTGGATGAGATTTGCATTTTACTCTGGAAAGAAATAGAAACAAGGCTAGATACCATATACAGAGCATCATCACGTGGTTCAAACGCTAAAATGCTTTTTGGTTTATAAATAGTGAAAAAAATGTAATTTTCAAATGTCACCCCCAAATTTTATTTTTGGTTTAAAACGACATGTTTTTAATGCTAAATAAAATAAATAAAATCAATAAAATATCTTTTCTGTTTTTTAAAAAATAAATATGCAAACCTGAATCAGTTTTTTTTGGTTTGGCTTCTTCTTTAAAACAACCCTAAACAGGATATTTTAATAAGTGACATTTCTGGTACCTGTGGTTAATTTAAAATTTTTAACATGTTTCCTGTCTATCTACAAAGTTGACCTATGTCTATAATATATTTAATGTTGATATTCGATTAAAAATCTATATATCATATGATAGAAAAAGTAATAAAAATGATTCATTTGCTCAGAAATAAGGAAATGTCATAAAAATTAAAAAATACATACAGTAATAGGTTAGTGACATATCTTGTTATAGGAGATCACACTTCTGGATAAATTATGTGTTGTGTAAGTATCATACAGAAATTTATATTGTTAATAAACTTTTTTTATAAAGTTTCTCCAAGAGAGCATCTTTAAGTTTTACACAAATTGAAGATTTTTGTTATACAAATTTTACCAAAATGTTGTAAAACTCGTCATCTTGATATTATTTAATGCGAAGTACTTTTTTATTGTGTGTTTGTATAAAAAAGCGATATGTATGACATATTACCAGAACATTCTGGATATATTTTCGTAAAAAAATACAATGAAATACCCACATTAAGTCTCTTTTTTGCAACAACTTACTTTCATTCTCCAAGCAACTTTAAGAATTATATCTTTCGGGTACCGCTATTAATAGCTATTTATCTTATTTGCTACTAGTATTTGTTTTTGTAACGAGATAGGTGTTCTGTAGGGTATAAGTAACGGAAGTATGTACGCCCAAACATCAGCGAAATTGACAATAAATATACCAGTCAAATTTATTTTTTAATCTAAGATCAGCTCATCTTCTATATACTATTCTGCCATTGTTTCATCATGTTATTCTTTTTTTTAAAGTAAAACCCACACAATTACAACATCTTCATGGTGGTTATTAATATACGAAGCACATTTTCGCAAATTTATGTTTTAAGAGTTTATTACTCACATAATTTTCAGATAAATTACGGGTTTCTTGTGTTCGTGGTATGTCTAGCGAGCGCTTTCGCCGGAGACTACCCCCACGTAGCCATGGGACATGGAATGCACGGCAACACTCACTATGGAAACCAGGGATTTCATGGTTCCACATTGCAAAATTTCTATCCCGGTGACTGGAACAATCAAAGAATGGGGTCATATCAGTATTTTGATTACGAAAGTTCGCCATGGAATTCAAATTGGCAAGGTATGAATCAAATATCCCATTTTTTGATTGGTTGATATGGTACATTATTCCGTATTGGTATGAGTGATATAATAATTGAAAATTTACATATATAGTACATATTCAACATCTGACGTGAAATGACATGATATGTTATATTAACCCTATTAAGTTTCTTATGCATGAAAAGTGAAATTAAATTCATTAAATCTATATAAATATTTTTCTACCATCTCCAGTCACAAAACCGTCCTTTAAAGCACTATCTTGCAGATTTGAAATGTTTTAAGTTATCAATTTGACCAGTTTTAACGATCATGAGTATCAGTTTTAAATACTACAAACTTATGAAATTGAAATAATATTAATGAACTTTATATCAATTGAAATTTTAAAGTTTAAATAACACACTTTTCTGTAGTTTATTAGCAAAGAAAATCATTTACAAAATTTGAAAAATAAGATCAACAAAGAAGTGCAGCATTTGAAGTGGACGTATCCTCGTGAAGGACTACTGTACTTTGTGTATAAGTACCCGTTTCATGTATGATCTATTAAATTCCTTAAGCTGTCTTTCAAATGTGTAAATTAACAGAGTTAAGTTTATAAAAAGAGAAGAAAAAAACACATCTATTAATCAAGTTAACATAAAATTCAATCAATAAATATACCTCAAAATTTTGCCGTCAGCATCATATTCATACCAGTATTTTTGCTTACGGGCAAACGCAATTAAAAGGTTAATTGAACTTTTTCGTAACAAGTTATTTAATGATTACATGTTTACACGCATCTTATATATAACTTTATTTTAATATATATATTACTGGTATAATTTCGTATAATTATAAAGTTTAAAAATTTAGCGTATTTCAAAGCCATTTTGACAATTTCGGCCGCCTTGCTAGTCAGTATTATTTGTCCATAATAACAATCTCTATATTTCTGCGTTTTCATTTTTTTGTCATGTTGCTGTTTGACAAGATCAATTGAAAGCTAATAATCAAAACTATAAAACTATATTGAGCATACCCTAGTGTCGAAAATACTAATAAAAGATAATGTTTCTGTTTTACCAGACCCTATGTGATATCTTAGAAATATATGGACTCTCGTGTATAATGTTTAATGTCTAAATCACTTTAAATATTGATGTTAATATCTTAAGGCATATAATGATGTATTTGAAACTTTACCACAGAGTATGGACCTTTTGATCTTAGTTGCTATAAATTGCTGTAAAATTTGATAATAATTATAATTAAATAAATATTTCAGTGACAAACATTTTAAGATAATGATTCATAATATCAATGTTTGAGATAAGATTTCCTATAAATGAAATTTCACTTGTTTATTTTACTGATCATTAATCATAAATTATTGATAATAGTTTAATATCATGAAAAGATTCCCACCTAGAACAAAAAAAGGAAAAAAGGTGAATTATCATACAAGCATAATTATACAGAAACAATGATTTCATTAAACCAAATATGTTCATGTTTTGTTAGTAATCAGCCTTCAAACTTTGATGAAATACTTATATCATTTTCAATGGAATTTATCATCAATACTATATTCTTTATTTATATTGTAAATAACTCCAACACGTACTTTATTTCAGTTGTTAAGTGTTTATTGGTCTTGTACACATATTTTTAAAATACATGTATATGTGTATGGTTTGTCGCAAATCAAAGTGTTGTCCTGAATGTCTCAGGAAATCCTTTTCACATTTACATATTGAATTGTCTTTTAATCAGTGCTGGGAAGTGTTTGGAAACTTTATATTAAGATTAAGATTACTTTAACGCAGAGACAATCTCGAGCTCATTAACATAGAAAAAAGTAAAAATAAACGGAAATTTAATGAATTATATTATTCGTTTGATCAAGTTATTTTTTACAATGCTTTACATATATTAAATATATATATCAGGAGGCAACATGTTTGGAAATACGGGTGGCAGTTTGGATTGGGGCCAGTCCGGTGGTAGCTGGAACCAGCCGCATTTGAACACGTGGCATGGCGACCAAGGATGGAACAACGGCGGCATGAATAATATGAATGGATGGAATAACAATTGGAATAATGGCTGGAATAGTAATGGCTTCGGAAACAACATGAATAATGGGTGGAATAATGACTGGACTGGTAGTGGCGGGATTGGCTGGAATAATGGCGTAGGAAACAACTGGAACACTGGTCTGAATAATGGTTTCGGAAACAATGGTTGGAGCGGTAATGGCGGATTGAATGGCTGGGGAAACAATTTGAACACTGGTTGGAAAAATGGTTTGAGCAACAATGGTTGGAGCGGTAATGGTGGCTTAAATGGCTGGGGAAACAATTGGAACAATAATTGGGGCAATAACTTTAATAACGGATGGACAGTTCCAGAAGGCCTGTAAGTTAAATCATATTTAATTTATTTAGATACCATTACTTACATTAAATCAACAAAACACTTTAATACAACACACTTTGTCGTGAATAGGAAAGTTGTCTCATTAACCTTTTATTCAAGATGATGATTACTGTAATTATTAGGATAATAACTATGTAATCAACAACAAGAATTGTATATGTAAAAAGAAATAATTTACTTTTGTCATGGTTAATTAAATTGTCTTTCTGTCTTTTAATTTCAGTGCCCTGCAGTCTCATTAAAACATCCATCATTATTAAGGTATGGTATAATGTTATAACGTAGTTTATATATTGACATTTATCTAACACAGACAACGCTTTAAACAAGGTCAATGCATTTGGACTGTTTTGTTAGACAAACAATGCATCTATCATTAGTGTATCTTTAAATCTCTAATTTTATCGAGCTACAAGTTTTGTAAATGATGAAGCAGAAAATTACGCTTAACCACTGAAATTGTAAAACATTCTTAACGAGTCGTTAAAAATAACACGAATTACACACATACAAATAAACATAAAGAATAAAGCATAGATAGGATAACGTGATATGATACAGTGCAACCTCTATAGAGCGAACCTGTAGATCAATTACCTTTTTACAACAAAAGTTTCAGTTTTTTTATAAGTTAGATGTCATAGTAAATTTGACCAATAAAGGGAAACACCTCGGCAACTACTATCAAAATATGTAATGCACAGTAGAGGTTGTAGTGCAAATAATTTTCGTTTCCTTTATCATTGATTTGTTTGTGTCGTGTGGCGGCTGTAAAAAGTCTCCCCGTACATGTAACCAATATTGTTATATTTTCATCCTGAAGGGATTGTTCGGCGTTTAGTATAGGAACATGGTGAGGCTAAGAATGAGGTTTGGTGGTTTGTGTGGGGGTTGCGTTCATTGAACGCCACTTTTCCTTGTTATGCTCACAACCGTGTTGTTTTGTGCCGTGTGCTGGCTGTAAAACGTCTCCCCGTACATGCAATCAATGTTGTTATATTTTCATCCTCAAGGGATTGTTCGGCGTTCAGTATAGGAACATGGTGAGGCTAAGAGTGAGGTTTGGTGGGTCGTGCAGGGGTTGCGGTCATTGAACGCCGCCTTTCCTTGTTATGCTCACAACCGTGTTGTTTGTGCCGTGTGGCGGCTGAAAAAAAGTCTCCCCGTACATGCAATCAATGTTGTTATATTTTCATCCTCAAGGGATTGTTCGGCGTTCAGTATAGGAACATGGTGAGGCTAAGAGTGAGGTTTGTTGGGTCGTGCAGGGTTTGCGGTCATTGAACGCCGCCTTTCCTTGTTATGCTCACAACCGTGTTTTTTTGTACCGTGTGCTGGCTGTAAAACGTCTCCCCGTACATGCAATCAATGTTGTTATATTTTCATCCTCAAAGGATTGTTCGGCGTTCAGTATAGGAACAGGGTGAGGCTAAGAGTGAGGTTTGGTGGGTCGTGCAAGGGTTGCGGTCATTGAACGCCGCCTTTCCTTGTTATGCTCACAACCGTGTTGTTTGTGCCGTGTGGCGGCTGTAAAAAGTCTCCCCGTACATGCAATCAATGTTGTTATATTTTCATCCTCGAGGGATTGTTCGGCGTTCAGTATAGGAACATGATAGGGCTAAGAGTGAGGTTTGGTGCACCATTAACCGGTTTAAACTCCCAAGCAGTACTTGTGCTGCTGACCCTTCCAAGGCGGCGCCCCTCTGTGTTCCTCAGATGTATGTCTATGTTGTTTCATACTGTTTTGGTGACATTTTTGCTTGTGTCCCTTGTTGTTTTCTCGTCTACGGTAAATATCTTCCCTGACCCTAGTCTTATTTCTTAAATTTATATCCCCCCCCTCCCCGGGTTGCACTGTCCCCTTCCCCTGTGCCCTTTGACTTTGTGGGCCTATTATTCAATCATTTATATTTGTTTTCTTTCAATTCCTTATCAGTTACAAATTATTTCCTATTATTCAATCATTTATTTATTTTCTTTGAATTCCTTATCATTTACAGATTAGCAATCATTTTAGTGATTAGCCTGTCCGTACTCTGCCTTGTACCCTGTCCTGTTTTTGTTTGGGGTCCACCTGGGCTCTTTGCCACTGGTTCTTGTTGCTGGGTCGTGTGGGGGTTGCGTTCATTGAACGCCGCCTTTCCTTATTGATCTTGTTTATCATATTTGTAAATATTTACTCTGTTTCTAACTCATTATATAACATGTCTGCATCTAGTTTTACAACATTTATAGTTTTGTGGACTTTGTAACGTTTTAGTAGGACGCTTACCTTTAACTCTTTATGTTATACCGTCTTTTATCGATAAATTATTACAATATTTTAAAACTTGTTCAATAACTATTTAGTAATGAAATACAGCATTGCTTCCATTTCAGGAGCAAGAGACCATGATGACATCAAACGAATTTTAACACATTATCATCATTGAAACAATATAATATAAGCAAACTGAAAGTACACCTTACATGAGATATTGAAATTGTTCCTTTCAGCCTTTTTTTTGTAAAATAAATTTATCATGATTTTATTTGAAAAGACACCGTGTTTCTTTTAATTTATCAGCCATGTTGTCTTGCTGATGAGCCCGGGTATGCTTGAATATTATGTGCAGAATTATTAGGTTGTCTCCAGTCGGTTGATTTGTACGAGCATCTTAATGTTCGAGTCTATCTGATTGATACAAACTAACAATACACTGCCCCAAAATCAAACACCACCATTACATAGATTCAGCAATGTGAAAGTTGATTGATTACAAAGCATTAAGCATAGACTTATACTTGTTTGGACATATTTAGATTTTTTTTAACTAGTATTTGATTGTAAGTCATAATAATAAAGGCACATAAAGCCTAAGAAATGAGTATTTTGTACATGTAAATATATTTAAAACAGTGTGTGTACACAACACTTGAGGAAAATAGCACTGGTTGTACAACAAGTTGTGATTTTTATAGTAAAATGTAAGCAATTTTCTATTTTGACTTTAATACAAACTACTAACACACTATAACCGGACTAATTGCCAAAACGCAATTAAATAAATTAGGTTTTGGAAAAATAAATTTAATAGAACACAACAAATAGCTTTTGAAAAATAAAAAATAGCATTTTCTAGACTATATGGGCCTTATATTTTTGTAACTGTTTCCTTTGCTGATTTGCCTTTTTACTTTAAGTTCCTATAAAGACATCCACGCCGTGTCTTTTTTTCGCATTTTGCCGCGAAAAGATGAAGACATGTAGAAACGATAAAGTAAAAAAGAAAAACAGAAAAATGCAATACGTTATATATGTTTTTTTGCCTCTCATTTGTCGTATATTTGCATTTGTCGTATTTTCATATTTGCATAACATCTTTAATACTTCTTCAGTTTGGCTTACAAGGATCGCTTGATGTAAAAAAGGACAATGACTTATGGTTCTAAAACAAAATGTGCCGCGTCACGACAAACTCAACATAATTTGTTTGCGACCAGCATGGATCCAGACCAGCCTGCGCATCCGCGCAGTCTGATCAGGATCCATGCTATCCGCTATCAGTTTCTCTACTTGTTATAGGGTTTGTAAGCATGGATCGTGAGCAGACTGGGCGGATGCGCAGGCTGGTCTGGATCCATGCTGGTCGCAAACCCATCATGTTGGTTTTGTCGTGACGCGGCTCAAATGCTTTTTCATTAATTGGATAAATATTATCGTGAAATTTCAAGCTGTTATACCATTGACTATTAATTTTAACAAGAGCTGTCGGTAGGACAGCACGCTCGACTATGATAAGCGCTTGATAGTAAAAGAGCCTTGATAATGTTAATTTTTTTAAGTTCACAAAAGGGCTAATTTTTTTTATAAATTCATGTTATAGGCCTTAGAGAGAGTCTAATTATACAGTATTGGCTTGACTATTCGGAAGGTAATGTCACAAGGGTGTTTTATTGAGTATAATAATACTAATTACCTATGAATACATAAATTTGACAGAAAAGGTACAAAATCTTGTTATTAAGATGTTTTATCAAGGAAATCACTGCTTTATTATTATAAATGCATAAAATTGTCCCAAAAAAGGCACAAACCCTTCAGTAGTTATTGAGATAACAGCTTACAAGCAAAACTTTACAATGAAGTTGAAAAAGGGGAGAAAAATCAGCCTAAATGCAAGATAGAATTATGGATCTTTGTCAGTGACCTACAATTATGACCCTAAATGCATATGTGAAGTTTTAAATAAATATCTTTAATAGTTATTGAGATATGTAAAACTTGCATGTAAACATTAACCAAGAGACTAAGTAGAAAAGGGGATATGAATCAGCCTTAATGCAAGATAGAGTTATGGAATTTGGTCAGTGACATACAATTATGACCCTCCAATTATGACCCTAAGTGCATGTGTAAAGTTTCAAGTAAATATCTTTGAAGACCTTTAACCTTTAACCAAAATTTCTAAGTTTCAAAGGGGCAAATAATTCTGCAAATATTGCAGGCAGAGTTATGCAATTTTGCAAACTGGTGTACATTGTTACTATAAAAAAAATTTTTAAATTTCAATTGAATATCTCAAGCAATAATTGAGATATTTGACTTTACAAAAAAACTTTGACCAAAATTTCTAAGTTAAAAAGGGGCATAATTCTGTCAATATTGTAGGCAGAGTTATCCAACTTGTCAATCTGATGTACCTTGTTACTATAAATAAGTATTGTAAGTTTCAATTGAATATCTCAAGCAAAAATTGAGATATTTGACTTTACAAAAAACTTTAACCAAAATTTCTAAGTATTAAAGGGGCATAATTCTGTCAATATTGTAGGCAGAGTTATCCAACTTGTCAATATGATGTACCTTGTTACTATAAATAAGTATTGTAAGTTTCAATTGAATATCTCAAGTAATAATTGAGATATTTGACTTTACAAAAAACTTTAACCAACGCAGACGCCGACGCGGACGCTGACGCCGACACCGACGCCGACGCCGGGGCGACTGCAATAGCTCTCATTTTCTTCGAATAGTCGAGCTGAAAATGGGTATTGACTCCAAAATGATGCAAAACGAGTTATGGTTGTAAGACACTGCACCTAACCGATATGTTATCTATGTATCTATAAAGTTTATAGAAACATAAGTTACTAAGGCTAATTATTTAATAAATTATGCAATAGAGTTGCTTTTATTATGCATTGCACTTTAACTCCATGCGATTTATCCACCTGTGAAGTTTTGAATTGATACTTTCCATGTTGGTCCAGACAGACAGAAAGACGGACAGACAGAAAGACAACCCTCCATCTTGGACGGTGGATAATAATACACTGCTGGCAGTATATTTTGTTAAACATCTTAGCTCCTGTCCAAAAATATAGACAGTCTCCAATTTTAGTTTTGCCGAGTTTGGTTTTCGTTTGATCAGCGTAGGAGAATTATCATCTATTTGGAAAGGCACAGATCATGTGACGGTGCTGAGTTGAATTATTTGATATTGAATAATGATAAAATTTAAATTACTTGTTTAATTGGAATCTAATCGACAACAGTTGTTTTAAAGAGAGTGATTTAGAACATACACTATGGCTTTAAAGGGAACTTTACTTACCACTTTGGTAATATATATTATACTTTGTGACAGTATTTATGCGACGTACGTGGATCTGGCGGAAAGAAAAAGGTAAATTTTACACTTCTTTTTCATAAATATTTTCCATGCTAGCTTTAAATAAAAAAATTAAAACATATTTTAAATGTGATTTGCTGGCCAATCCTTATAGGTTCTATTTTATTTTTAGTAGACTTCTTTTTCTTATGAACATTTGTTTTTCTAAATAAAAAAATATTTAAAAAAGGGCTAGTAATTTATAAAAGAAAGTAAAAACACAAAAAATGAAACTCAGGCTCAATAAAAAGGAAAAAGTACAATTTTTTGATTTTAAACAAAAAGGTATCTTTTTTTTTTAAGGGCCCGATAAACATTCAAATAATACTTAGTCGATTGAAATACAGAAATGTCTCCGTGTTATTACAATAATAACATTGTTTTTAATTTATGGAAAATCATTTAAGCAACAGGAAAAAGTGAACAAGAAATTTGCGGGCAATTATTTTTCTGAATTGTCTACAATTAAAACGTTCGTTACATAATGTCCTTGAAGTTTGATTGTTTTGTTTTGTTTACATAGATACCATTGATAGGAAGTTATCTTGTAATTCTGAGATACGCCAAGTTAGTTTTAAAAAACAAATATTGGTAAAGAAACACAATACATGCATGTCGAATCAATTTCATTGATTTTATTTTTTAAATAACACTAATGCTGAGCATCATATATACCACGTGCTTATATTTAATTTCTTTACAAATTCTAGCAACGGATATATATTGATGCCTTTTGTAAAGAAAATTCACCCTGTTTATGCAGAAATATAGTGATGCTAGTAAAACAATATGTATATAATAAGTACTTGTAGTTTTTAATTTCCACAATGCAATTTATAAGAACCAATCCTTCTAGTTATACACATGTATGTATGTACTGCAATATATAATTATGTATGTAATAGCTTATCATAGTGCTGTAGTGATTTGTATTTACATAAAATATATCCATGGAATGAGCTAACTACAAATCAATTTTTTAAAGTAAGAGTCGTAATAATAAATGTGTATTACAGAGAAGATTTATTGAAGTTCTACATATAAAATAATATGACACAAATCAAATATATTTAAAAAGATCAAAGTAATTGCCAGGATATTATTGATTTAACACTTGTCAAGATAGTCGCGAACATGTCAAAACCGTAGCATTCGTTATTATAATACGTTACGCAAAAGGTTCGAGTCTATGTGGAAAACATGCAATGCTTCGTTAATTATTTTCACATAAGTTTCCATACATAAGTATTTTGTGAAGATTTAATTACAACGAAATATGAAGCTTTTGGCAAATTTAAAAGAATATACATTGTATTTCTAACTTTGGCTAAACACCCATTATCATTACATACATGTACATTTATTACAATGCATGCATCAAAATATCATGTTATTGTTTGATTTTATTTACCTGTCAATTAAATTCAAATCGCAATATTGTAACTATAAAGTAACTTCATACAAATCTTCTCACATAACAACAAGGCAATTTCTCGATTCAAGAAAATCTCGTAAGGCAACTCTAATGTCGATCAAACTTGCAATCTTTGACAAAATATATGAAACAAAGTAGTCAAAATCTTGTATTTCTTTTCAGACCTTGTTCCAGGTCACATTCACATAGCACAGAAAATAAATTCTTGTTTCAATGACGTTTAATTGTTCAGAGCAAGAATGCTAAAATTCTTATTATTATCTAAGATCTGACTTGCAACGGATTTAGTTAAACGATATTATGGAAGCTTGAATTGACCCCCTAGAAGCCATAAGCGTGATAACTCGTGTGTCGGCATGTCGACACATTTTCACGCGACATGACGCCTTCTGTCATTGTTTGGTGGGATATTAAAGACGTCTTGACAACGTCTGTTTTAATGCATGTCGACATATAACCTTCTCCATAATGGAGTTGATGAGAATTGTGAACAGCTATGTCAACCTGTTTTATCTCGACACGCCTTGTAATATCTCTTCTTTTGGTAAAATATTCACAACTTCATAACACCATGGGTACTGTCGGAAAGACCTTAATTAATATTCGGAAACTTTATCCTCCCTCCAAACCAAAATCTAAATACATCGAATGATTTATTCTTTAAAGAACATTTCTGTAGTAATATTAGCTAGGGACTTTGAAAGGTCTTTTAATCTGAATATGTGCTTGTTTGTATATGCGTGTTTAACAAGCAGTTTTACCAGTTAATAATTTCAGTCAGTGTTTGCTAAGCAACCTTCTATATTTCATATATTTATAAACATATTACCTTCAAAAAAGTTCATTTGAAAATTTTAGCCGAAAGGTTATATAAAGAGCACTTAAGTAATTTAACTTGTTTTGTTTCCAGAAAGGTTATTCAAACAAAATGCTCTACGCGTATTATACATAACTCAATTGATATACATATATTAAAGATCGAAAATAAACATCAGACTGATATACTTTAAATTCTTAATGATAATGAAATCAACGATATAGTTATGCAGTACGTCAATCATTTCTCGATGGGCGGCATTTAGTTTCCGATAATAATAAGGCTCCAGTCCTCTTTTATGATAGACAAAAGTAAAGTCGACATGCTCTGATACAGGTGTTGTCAAGATTATATTTTTTTCCCATCCGAACCATGGTAAAACACGCCATGTCGCACTAATATATGTCAACATGACCACATACAAATTATCACGTACCACGGCATCTCGGTGGGTCAATTCAAGCTTCCATACGATATTTTACATCTGGTTCTTGAACATCAAAAATAGCCAAGTAGCCACTCACGTCGATGCACTTAGACATAGCTTGTGATAATCACTGTAAAACTTCTTATTCAGTTCTAATTCTAAATGTTGAAAAAACTATAAACATACTTTTTGTATTAACTCTACTGTATACTAAAAGATGTCGTCTAAACAAATCAAAATTATTTAGTCCGCAATGACTATAAACTATAAATCTTGTTCAGTTCGTTGAGGTAGTTCTGCATTCCACGTTTTCTATAGTAAAGAAAGTTTGATATATTTGGTTTTATCTGAGGTTTGAGTATTTTAACGGACATCTATGGTGTAGACTTCATTTACATGAACATGTCAAGTACAGTATTTCGTCTCAAATTTTAGTTTTATATAAAAAATATGATGCTCAAATTCAGATTTATCAAAATGTAAGTTCCAAAAAGCATTATTTATAAAGATATTACCGAATTTAATATTTCATGTAAATAAAGGGAGGTAATAAAATGTTTGTTTTATATAAATTCTAAGTCAAATTTTCCAATAAGAAATGAATGCATATAATCTTATGACTCTTCTGGCTGAAGAAATCACAAATTTTTTGCATTGCTCGATGTTTGTTTCGCAGTTTCGTGGGAATAATGTGTTTTATTTTATGCTTTTCAGTGGATTACTGATTTATCCGTGAAAATTATATTTGGTAATTTCACAGTGAAAATTATCAAAATATAATTTCACTCTTTTCAATGACGAAACTACTTTTTAAGATTTTCCCCATGTGGTACCTCAATTTTATTTTTGCTGACATTTCTGACAATTTCAGACTGTTTAAAGAAAAAGCAAAGCTGAAATTGATAAATAATTTAAATGTCAAAAGTAATAAAAAGAAGAAAACTTACTTCTATTCATTCAAATTCCAATCACCAAATTTCGTCTCTAATTTTTTTTGTTTCATATTTACAGTCTGAAAAATACATTCCTTCCCCATGCAAAACTGCTCTTGATGACATTTGGGCATATTAATGTATCCTACGAGCAATAACTGCCGTATGCTTTATGAAAAATTGAAAAGCATTGACAGCCATTACTCGAAGAATAAGTAAAACAACCCAGCGTTCTTGAGCAAGCTTCCAAGTTTTCCATTTTCCTAGCTCCTTTTCTGAATGTTTTCACATCTGTCAACACTTATTTTTTGTCTGTTACAATCCTCAAATAAGTTTTCTTTCTTTTAAAAAGGTGTATGAATAACAAATCTAAATTATATCCCTCTGAATCTTACACAATTATTTTCCTCCCATGAAATACACAACTTTAAAAAATGGCTGCCGCTTACAATTTACAAAGCCAGGTCTAATATAAATTCGCAGTAAGTAACAGAAATATGGATGGATGGTTGGACTTTTTCTCCTACAAGAATTGTTTGTTTTTATTATTAAAACAAGCGATCATTCATATTTTTTTTAATAAAATGAATAAATATCACCGTCATTTAACGTTGATTGGGGGACTTATTTTTCAGCTCAAGACTTCTTGTTTTTAATGAGAAATTCCGACAAAATGGGGCTCTCAATGGGGGAAACAGTTTTAATATTAACGTTAAAATTATGGAAAATTCGTTTTAACTTGTTTTTAAGCATAAAATAAAAAGAAAATTTGTCTGTTTGTTGTGTAAGATGTAATTTTATTTCATCTCGTGAACTTTAAAAACAGTATTCTCACTCGTGGCTACGCCACTCGTGAGAATACTGTTTTTAAAGCCCACTCGATGAAATAAAATTTCATCTTACACACAAATAAACAAATATCCTCTATATCTGTGTTGATTTTCCAAGATCGAGACAGATTATGTCCAAGTTTTGTTCTTATTCATAACTATTTTCTATATTTTTGAAGTTATGGTTGTTCCGTTTTTTAATGTTTTGCGCTTTTTGTAAATACTATTCCTTTGTTTATAACATTGTTTAAGAATTAATACTGTAAATTCATTCGGATTAAAATCAATAAATGTAATTTCAGTGCCGTAAAATACAAAACAAAATGTGACAATTCAGTGTTTTTGAGTTGTTTCATATCCGTGTAGATAATTTTGCAAGCGCTTGACCATTTTCATTAAAATATACTTAAAAATGAAAAAAAGAATAAGTCTGAAAAGAATGTCAAAATAAGGGATCGGACCTCGGACCTCTCATGCAGTAGGTTATCACTTAACCGACTGTGCTATTGCGGATGTTACTAGAATCTACGTACATTAAGCTAGTGGGAGTTTCCAAACGTTAGTGATATACTCG